AAAAAAATACAAGATCATAGTCCCTCGATGATGCTATCAAAGTTGCCTTTCAAAATGATCTTAGTCCCTCAAAGAGAATTGCTAAGATATTTTACAATATTGCTATCATGGCTATACGATGACCCACGTCCGTCCCTTTACATCCAAAGATAGGGCTTCCTACCAAATCAATCATAAAATAGCAATATCAAAGGAAAGGAAGAAATGAACTAAGACTTTTGAGTAGGTAGATTGTTCCTAGTTGCTTGCTCATTTTCAAATCAAACATCCTTGCTATTTTCAAAACAAACACCAACACTTTCAAAACATCTTTCAAACTTGAAACATTCTCAAAAGATCCATACTTTGTATACGTTCTTACGAACGAGAACCATTACAAAGTTTGCCTAAACGATGGCGCCTTTTCAAAATACTTTTAAAAAACACATAAAGCAAATTTTCAAACAAAAGAAAGTGATCTAGCAAGTAACTAAGAGCCCATAAATAACTATGGATGAAAAGTGTTATAACACCTTCCCTTTTCATAATCTACCCCCCGAACTCAAGAAACAATCTCAAAGGTATTTCCTGTTCTTTTCAGCCTTTCCTTTTGGATAAAAGAAAATTTGGTGGCGACTCTTGCTAACCGCAACATTTGCGATAAAATGAAAAATACAACAAGTCAGTTCTCCCACTGTATCACACCATCCTTGCCCTCACCAGCAGAGGGATGCTCGAGTTAGGGGCTTTTCCTGGCAACTCTTTGAGGTAGAACATGATTGGCCCTGATTTACCCTTAACCTTCTCGAATGTCACCACTTGTGTAGAGGCTGCGTCGACCAACTTGCCGAGCTTTCTTTTTGCGGAGTTTATGGAGATATCAATGAACCCCCGCCAGTTATAACCATGGAGGGGGGAATTTTTCCCATCTAATGTGCATGGACAGAGGTTCTTCTTTGTATCTGTCAGGGACATAGAAGTCCTCTGACCTTGTAATACAAAAGGCTATCTGGATGGGGGCCGTCTCGATGGTCGGGTATCCTCCTCGACCTCTTTTGTATCGCGGGCATCTCAATGAGGGGCTTCATTACATCGATATTGCCCGAGTCTACCACCCTTAATGAGGGTGTCAATGGCATCTTTGAGGTGGACACAGTCTTCAGTCAGGTGCTCGTGACTCTGATGGTACTGACAGTATTTGATCATGTCAGCGTTGGGCTTCGCAGGAGCAAATCGAGTACGTTTGACGCTACCGTCTTTGAAGTCAGTATTAGCGCACTCCTCCAGAATGCTCTCGCAGGAAGTGGAGTGTATTCGGTGAATTGGCATGCGGGTCCCTTATACTCACGGGGATCACGTAGTTTATCCTCCCTTCTCTTATCGTTTGTTCGTCGAGGAGGGCTTGTATCCTGGTTTCGCAGAGTGTTGGTCGATACGCGATTCCTTGGGTCACGGGATCTGTTGGTAGCTTCCCTCTCCTCGTAGTCCATATAGGCCCTAGCTTTCTCGAGGAGAGCATCAAAAGTCTGGGGTGGTTCGATGTTGACGGCCTTCCTGAACTTTGTGCTCGGGAGGAGTCCTCTCTAGAGAAAATATCTCTTCTTGTGGTTGGTGCACGGGACATGAATGGCTTTGCAGTTGAACCGATCGATGAATTTCCTGATCGCTTCTTTGGACGATAGCCTCAAGGGAGGCCTCAGTCTTTGGGTGTCGATGAGACGTTGTAAAGGAGCTGATGAACTGGCTCTTTTAGGTTCCTCCAGGAGGTGATTGATCCTGGGGGGAGATTATTATATCAGTCTATTGCAGTCTTTCTCAAGTTCGTGGGGAACAACCGGCATTTGATCGATCCCGTGATGTTATGATAATTGAGCATTGCCTCGAACCCGTCGATATGGTCGACTGGGTCAGCAATACCATCATATTCCTTCAGTTGGGGGAGGCTTCTCCATTCCTCTGGGAAAGGGCGCCTCCATGATTTCTTGTGATAATGGACAATAGGGGTCATCTTCGTCGCTCCTATAGGGGGAGTAGGAAGGAGACCGGTTGTAGTGGCGGTCGTAGTGATGTCCTTGGCCTCGGGGATGATCCCTTGGTCGAGGATGCGCTTCTATGCTGCACATGTCTCTATTTTCATGGGATCGTTGTTCCCTGTGCGCTGGGGGGGGGGGGGGTGTTAGGCTGCGTCTCTCGGTAGCCTCGGGCATGGTTCTCTCCAGCGTGGAGCGTCAGCCAGTCAGCCAGGGAGAGAGGCTTCACGGCCTCTCCCATCTGTGTCTCCGCGGGGGAGATTGAAGACAGTCTTCGTTCTGACGGGGAGGTGGAGTGTCAGGCCTTCTATGTCTTTTGGGGGCTCGACAAGAGTCCTCGAGCGCCCTTAGTCACTCACCTTGTGAGAAGATCAAGTAATTCGTCTGGTTAATGGTTACGAACAGAGCCATGGTCGTGGCATCAACGTCCGGAGGGATGGTGACCTCCTTGAAAGCGTTCGACTCGTAGTTCTAGGGGGGATGGGTGCCCTCGTATGGTCGAGAGCATTATGAGGAAGAGGTGGTCATGTCGTCTCTGTAATTGTACATGAGAGTGGCCATGTCGTCGTCATTCCCGTTGTTGTTGTTGTTTTTGCCCATGTTGTCGATGATGTTGTTGTTGGGGTCGGCGAGATGATCGTCTAAGTTGTTGTTTGCAGTTGGGTCGGTCATGACAATCAAAATAGTTTGAAGAATTGCTTTAGTCTTGGGTTAATGAAAGACGGGGAAGCTTGTTCCCACAGATGGCACCACTGATCGTACCTGACCAGAATGGATCGTCAAGGCCTGCGAGCTATGAGTTAAGCAGCAACTAAAGATGAGATGGAGGGTACCTACAAGACACTTTGATGCCAAAGTAAGTTTCAGGGAGAGTGCAAACAAGTGTGAGAGTGAGTATGAAAGAATGAATACCCGACCTTCTCAAGTGAGAGGGTATTTATAGCCCCCAGTGCTAGGCCAAGGTCCCCAATGTTGGGCCACAATGAGGCCCAACAAGGAAGACTGTCAGGGCTTACATGTGTATGGAGTCCAGCACGTGGACTCCCCCCTGGTCAATTGCCACGAGAGAATAGGTGTTGGACCCGTGATTTCTGAAGGGCAGTTATGATGACAATGATACGGACACGTGGGCCACATTCTCCAACAGACGCGTGGGGAGTTTCCCAATGATCCCCAGCTTGGGTTGCTTGCCTTTGGGCCTTATGAAAGGGTGTTGGATTGGGCCTCCCAACAGTGGGGCAAGTGCAGGCCCAGTCCAGATCAAGTATCAAGCACATTTTCAACCTCAAATCAAACTAAACCATTTTCAAGAAGGAAAAACACTTTATCAATATCAAGTTCCTTTTAAAAATCAAAGCCAATCAAAAAACCTTTCGTCATCTAAGAGAGAACCTTTCCAACACTCGTCCGTGTTGATTCTCTCTTCCAACACTAGTCAATGTTGACCTTTTTCTCCCATATGTGAACCTAAACTAACCTAACATAGTTTTCCCCCAGAACTATGTAGCCTTGAATTCTTCATTGCACCTGGAGATACGTAGGAGCGATACTCAACGTCTTGTCAAACAACCTTATCTTAAAATCCAAAAAAACAATATTTCTCCCAACTGCGAGCCTTTTTCTCCTTTCTCCCAAGTGCAAGTTTTCTTCATCTTTCGCACAAATGCGAGTCTTTTTACTTTTTCGCCCAAGTGCGAGTCCTTTTTCAAACACCTTATATCGCCTAAGCGCGAACTTTTTTTACCTTTTCTCTAATACTAGTCTGTATTGTCTAGACACTCGTTCGTGTCTCCCAAGCGCGAACCCTTTTTACCCTTTCTCCAACACTCGTCCGTGTTGATCTAGACACTCGTCCGTGTTGCCCAAGCTAAACCTCAAAAAGTTTAAGTTCACTAAAAACTACATAAGCTCTGACTTTCCCATTTCACTCGAGAATACATAAGCACGTGATTTTGAAATCTTGTTGAGTACAATAATAAAAAATCCAAAATATTTTCTTTCTTTCTCGCATAATAAGTAGAAGATCGCAAGTAAACATCATGCTAAAATCCAACCACAAGACTAGCTAAATCGGTCTCTTTGAGTACAATGGATGTGAGAGGTGCTAGTACCTTCCCCTTGCATAACCAACTCCTGAACCCTAATTTGGTTGTGACGACCATATTGTCGTTTTGTGGGTTTTATCTATATTTTCCCTTTTCTTTTGAAATAAATAAAGTTCAGTGGTAACTCTATTGTATGTCGAGCGAACGATGCCCTCATGTATATTTTGAGTCGCGATAAGACCTTGTTTTAAAATTCTGAATGGTCAAAAGTTAAATATAGGTGTTGTGAACATGCACTACAACATTTAGGCTCTTCAGCAACAATTGAAAAACGTTGCCAGAACTCTGAAAATTGTTGCCTAAAACAATAGGGGATGTTTTCTAGGCGTCTCCTGTGCGAGCGTTGCCTATTGTTTGAGGCGACGTTTTTTTATGTTTTTTGGGAACGCTTTTGAAAAACGTCGCCTATAGTAAAGGAATAGGGGACGATTATTTACGGCCTCTGAGACAACGTTTTTTAAGCGTTGCGTTGCCAAATTCGGCTACAATTAACAATCGTTGCCTTAAACCTGAATTAGGAAGGTCGTTTTTGAAGTGTAGCCATAGCTTATAGGTTGTTGTTTTATAGTGTTCACATAAAATATACAATTTTGCAATTATTATCAAAATAATATAGTCAATAATAATTGGCTTCAAAAATAATATTGATTATATAACTTAAACCATACATCCATAAAAGTTGTAATATAATAAAATCGAGTTCAAACTTTAATTCAAGATATAGTATATAGAGTACACAAAATGCCTAACTTAACAATATTACTTTTAATACTTTGAAGTATGACCCTAGTAAAATAACTAAAAACATAGTTCAGCAAAAGAACAAAAATCATATTTCAAGTTTAGTGCTTTCAACTACAAGCCAAAAAAAAAGACATCATCCAACTCATTCAAGTTTGTCTTCTAGGAGTAAAGCATCCAGATCGTCCTCTTGAAATTCGTTAGATATGTCATCCTCCATAAATTCTTCATCTACGTCGTCCTCTTGAAATTCACCATCTATATCCTCCTCTTGAAATTCATCATCTAGATCTATGTCGTCCTCTTGAAATTCGTCATCTACGTCGTCCTCTTGAATTTTATCATTTAGGTCGTCCTCTTGAATTTTATCATTTATGTCGTCCTCTTGAATTTCATCATTTATATCGTCCTTTTCAACATCTTCATTGATACATTGCTGCATAAGAAAATAAAATAAAACACATTAACCATAAGTATTTTTGAAACGAATATGGAAGTCATAAACCCCCTTTCATTACATATATGGAAGTCAAAATAAACATACATCTATGCATGCATAAACCCCCTTTCATTACATATATGGAAGTCATAATCACATTTTGAAATGAAATAAGAATAAATTTCACAAACTTGGAAGCATTGTGTGATAAATGCTTACACCGTATATCTATATACACATCAATTCAGCATTCTCCTATAACATCCTTAATTGGAATTTCCTATATTATGTTGACTCAAAATATGAAATTGAAATCCCCTACTCTCGAAAACTTAAGTAAAACATACCAAAAAGAAAGCAATGTTCAAAGAGAGTGAATAATATTCTTACCCAGTCCTCAAAAGCTTCCTTAATAAGAGAAACGAGAAGCGCCAAAGATAGAGGAAGCATATTAGTTATTGGAGAGACAGGACTACAACATCAAAAGTTATGTAATTAGACTCTAAATACTTTCAAAATAAAGAAAACATCAACATATGAAAAAGTATATACTACTGATAATGACTTTAACATTAATTAATTAAAGCATGGACAAACAGGAATTTCTATCATCTGAGAAAACATAAAAACCCTGATAATGTGGCCAAGGATAGACCCCATAATTTAAAAACAAGTATCATTTACCTTCAATAAACAATAAAAATGTGGACAAAAATCAAAAGCATAGAGAAACTTACCTGTTCAAATAATCCTTTAGGCAGAAAGGTAAAAAAGTTGTATTTTGTAGTCGATATTGAATTCCCCTGAAATAATGGATATTAACTAACCAAATCCAATCTAGTTACAAGACATAGGCATGTAAATACACAATATAATCTCACACATGAAAAGAAATCCACTGTTTCTGTTTCTGATAGCTAGTACTATCAACTTGTGAAACAAGCTGGCCATAGGGATCTGGAAGGTATCCAAAGAGAAACTAGGGAGAATCAAGAGGCTTTTGACCAGGAGGTCAAAAGAACCTTGATAGTGGGAATAAAGTATGAAACATAGAGTTAGGTAAGATCGCTTACAAAAAAAAATTGTTAGGTAACATGGTTGCGTAAATATGCTTAATGATGCTTAACTTGGGTAAAAATATAAGGTACTAAAGAAAACACCAGGAAGCACTAAGAGAAGTGAGAGTTGGAGTATCGATGGTTTTTACCAATTTAATCACCAAAGCTGGGAAATGAAGTATTTACAGGTTCGCTAAAGGTAGAGAAACAAAGATAAGAGGCTTGAGCTAAGTGAAATGTGCTAAGGATTAAGAGGGAAAAGTTTTATTCATAAGACTGGATATCAAAAAAAATGTGAATGTTTTTATCATAAGCGGGTAACTCATGAAGGTCGTGAGTTTTTAATTGATCGAATATTAGTCCAGGTGTAAGAAATAAAGGGAAAACAAGGAAAAACTATAGGGCCGAACCATTAAGAATCATTTGGATATATTTGGTCGGTCGTTAAACATTATTCATAACATAACAGGACACAAAATTGTTTAATCATAACCAACTCCACATAAAGAGAAAAGACGATGGTTGTTATTATAATAAACTATTATGAGTTCTCATATAAAAAAATATGCAACTAGACTCCAATTCTTTAATCGTAACCAACTCCACATAAAGAGAAATTATTATCTTGCATCTACTAGAAATTATTGATCATCACTTGATTACCTTGCATCTACTTTAAAATCTAAGGCCCCTAAAACTTCCCCCCTTTTAGTTTAAAACACACTTCTCTCTTATTTATCTTGCACGAGCTGTTCAGTTTCAAATCACTGAATTCCATAACCTCTTTTCTAATTTATTCAACAAATTCCTAACTTTATAACCAAAATGCCAGCTCATAAATCTAACCATAACAGAACCGCAAACTAATTCCAATTTGCAACAGAGTAGACTGCAATAGGGTAGACATCCCAAACTATCATAATCCCTAACCAACTAACAAAAAACAGAAACTCCTAACAGAAAACTGAATCCTAACCGAATTCCAACTACCTCTAACCAACTTCTAACATAACTACCTATAGCAGTTTTTGAACTGACCGCAAAAACAGAACTCTCTAACCTATAACTTCATAACAGAATTTAACAACCTCTAATATCCTCTAACAGCTCTCTAACAAACCTCTAACCATAACTAACTGTCAAATAAACCTCTAACTTCCTAACTGACTAACATAAGAAAAAAAAGACTTCTAACAGAAGAGAACAGAGGGATAACGAAAAAAGAAAAGAAAGACAGAAGTGATGCATTCATAATAGAAAAAGAGACTCATATTTCAACCACTCTCTCTGAACCGTATCAAGATCTCTATCATCTTTCTCTACAACAAAAAATGCCTAACTCGTCATCCTTGCAACCATCATTATTCTTCAGAACCTACTACAACCTTTATCAATCTTACCTCTCTCGCTGCAGAACCTTCATCCCACCTCAATCTCTATCATCATCCCCTTTACACGCAACAATGCTTCAACAATAATTATCATCAAGGCGTCAAGATCACGTATCGGAATCATATAAAACCACATGAAGATTCACAAGTAAGCAGAAATCGGTGAAGTAGAAGAAAGGGAAGGCCAACACAAGAAGCGAACCTGAGTTCTTGAAGAGATTTTCATTGGTTTTCTCTTTGTCAATATCGACGTAACTGTCGAAGAAGCGTCAGACTCGTCGTCAGCAGGTAAGTCTCATAATCTCATTCCTCTCAATGTTCAATTTCCTCCATTTATTTCATGTTGTGATGTAGCATGAAGCGTTCTCGCGCGTATTAGGTTGTCTCCATCAACTTAGGTTTATAGTTTCTTCTTGATTGGATGTGAGTTTAGAGGAGGGCAAAGGTTGAATGGAATTGTTAAGATGGTGGCGGTTCATGGCGGGTAGTTGTTGGGGAAGAAGAGTGAGGGAATGGATGTAGAGAAAGAAGTTAAGATAAGATGGTGATGATTTCGCGATGACGTTTTTGTTCAGAATAGAAGAAGGTTGAACGGTGGTTGCGTCACGCTGTTAGCTTGGACGATGATTTTGAGCAAGGTTTAGCTGCCGCGGTGAGAGAGGGACCGAATAGAAAATTGCACTGGTGATAGAGGAAGAGAAGTCTGAGAGTCACACAACTCGAACCCTATTTCCCTTTCCGAAAAATGCGTCGTTCCTTGTTTTCTTTTGTTTTTTCTTGGTTTTAATTCCAAAAAAAAATATAATTGATGTAGAAATAGGAAGAAGAATTGGATATATATATATATATAATTTTTTATTTTCTGTTTAATTGAAATTTTTTATTTTTAAATTCCTGTGTTAGAAAAATATATTTTTTTATATATATTAATAATGTTTAGAGAAAAATATTTGTTTTTTAGTGTATAAGTTTTGGAGGGAAGATTGCCACCAAAAATTTGATAATTCTAAAAAAATTTATACAACATTTCAGAAATGTAGCCTTTTATTAGAACTAATGTAACAATCTAAAAATGTCCCCAAAAATATTTTAGGGGACAATTGTCAAACATTACTAAGGAAATGATATTTTAACGCTCTAAAATCGTCCCCAAAAGCAGTTAAGGGCACAATTAACAACCGTTGGCAAAAAAATAAAAGAGTATCGCTCCATAAACGTCCCCAAAAGTATTTTAGGCGGCGATTATCAAGGGTTGCAAACATATTTTTTACAACAATCGTAAATTGTTGCCTATATGAATTTAAGGCAACAATTTCTACATGTTACCTAAAAAAGTGTTGCCAGAGACAACAAATATTGTAGTGATGCCCTCTAAATTTGAGCTCGATTCGACGGTTAACCAATTCAAGATCGTCGATTTAGTGAGATTGGATATAAAAAACAATAATTGATTTCTCTCATCTGTTCTCTCTTTTGAATCCTTATTTTCTCTCTATCTCTCTTAATCCCGAATTGATCCTCTCCACTTAAATAAATAAGACAAATAGACTATTCATATTTGGGCATTTTTCTATATAAGAAGGGAGCTCAAACCCAACATCTTGAATCAGGTCATGTGGGCTCTTTTTATCATAAATTTTAAAAATAATTCTAATAAATAGATGTGATGTGCTAAAATGCAGTGTTTTGAAAATTAGATCGAACCGGTCGGTCAAACCGGTCAAACCGAGAACTGAAGGAATCACTGATCTGGTCTGATTGTTGGATCGAATATGCTATTGAATAGATGTGAATTGGCCAGAACCAATAAAAATGGTAAAAACTGATAAACCGACGGTTTTGAAAAGTCGATGGGTTAAATACATGTTTTTTGTTGGACATAACGACATTGTTTACATAATTTTAAAAATATATATAATTAAAATATAATTAAATTTTATTTAAAATAATTTCTCTTGTTTACAATTAGACTAGGTTTAAAAATTTATTTAAATTTGTATTTTGTATTATTTTGTTTTGAGTGATGATTATATTTAAAATTTAAATTTAAAGAATGAACATGTGCAATTATGATATTTTGAAAATCTAAAATTTTGTAGATATCATGATATTTTTTTAGAGACCGAATCATCTGATTTAACTGATTTAATAAATATATAATTTTGTTATAAAAACTGATTTATTCAAGTAAATTATTTGATTTAATTCGATTTAGTCACATAATTTAACCAATAATCTAATAGTTCAACGAATAAATAGTGATCTAATATTCTCTCCAAATTTATGACGGATCGAGTTTTTAAAACTTTGCTAAAATGTAAATGGGTTAAAATATCAATTGAACATATACAACTAAATTTGATATCGACTTCTGAAATAATAAATAAATTACATCAATAAACACTAGTTGTTAGTTTATTTCATTTACAAAGTACTATTATAATACAATGCATGAAGTGTGTGTATTATTCAAGTTATTAATACAATAGACTTATATTTTCTTAAGCGTTATTCTTGAAGTTAAAACTCATTTTTCAAAATCATATATCCAAAAACAAATTCATCAGACAAGTTTTCAAAACGTATATGCAAAAACAAATTCATCAAACAAGTTTTCTTTACTAAACAATCAAACAAACACGCCCTTAGATATTTATGTACATTTTAAAAACATAACATATATCTTCCCAAAAATTTGTCCTGAACAAGACTGAGTTGCAGTTTTTGCCCCTCTTTTTATGTAGGAAAAGAATAATACAAACTATATGCATTTTCTTGGTGGAATTTTGACCCATTCCAAAAACAATGTACTGCTAAGGTTTAGAATATTATGAGAATATAAGAAGAAGCTATGGGCAATGTACACTGTACGTAGTACCAACTTGCCAACCAGCTCATTTTTCTTTATTGACAAATGTCTCTTAATCAACTTGTTCACACCTTCCTAGGTCATGCCTGCTGGACCCCTTAAATTGAGTTTTTCTCAAATATCAATCACTCATTTTTTCATAATTATTTATGGCACACCTTTCTCATTCCTTAAAAGGAAAAAACAAGACCTGATATTTTTGTATAGAAATGTAGAATAATACACCACATGATTTAACATCTAATCAAAATATCACAATAATTAAAAAATATTAATATTGACAATTTGCAAGAGTAGAGAAATAGAATATAGAATAAACAGTTGTCTTCTTTCATTTCATTTTCAAAAACCTTCTTTGTTATTGTTCATAAACTACTTTTTCTCTAATAATGTACAATTCAGCTTTTGCAACGTGCATTCTTGCAACTTGCAACTACAACACTATTAATTTTTTTTCTCATGATTTGGTCTTTCACATAATTTTAAAATTCAAATTAAACTCTTAACATAAAAAAGAAAATTAACTTTTGATACTATAATGTTATAAGGCTCCAATTATCTTTGGCTTTTTGCTGCATTCTAAGGTAAATAATTCCATCTCTTTTCTCTTCCCATTGCAGCTAACACCATCAGAACTTGAACCAGGTATTTTCAAAATATTTACCCCGAAAAGCCGAACCATTTGAACCGGTTCAACTACCGGTCGGACCGGGATAAACAAACCACAAGTATTATCATTGGTTTCACCAACACTGACACCGACAACACTAATGCTCCTGGCTTTGCAGTCTATATAGAGCTGTCTATCCGGTCCGGTCGACCTGAAAAACCGAACCGCATCACCGGCTTTGAGATTCTTCTCCTTCACGAACCGGCTCCAGCCTTTGGTTAAAACGTAACTCTGGCTACTGTTCCAATAAGAGTAACGAAATCGCCACACTTTCCCTCCAACGTCTTCGAAGTTCAATAGCAAACCTTTCGCCGCCGTCACAGACGGCGAGGTTCCATCGCCAGAGACAGTTACGGCCACGGCATTCAACGGAAAGTGTTTCTCCGCGTGCTGTTTCGGTATCACCAACCGATTCAACTTTCCAACGTCACTTGGCGTAACCGTTTTCTCAAACAACTGCTCACGCGCCTTAGCAACGCACGCGCCACGTGACGCTGTGGCAGATTCTCCGTTGCGCCGCGGCCTTCCGCCGCATGAATCTCGCGTGCTTTGCTTAAGTTCATCGTCGTATGTATGTTTCCGAAGCATGTCAACTATCTCGGATTTGGAATGCGAGTTGAGAAACTCGGCTTCACTTTCGTCGGTATCGTTTTCGACGCCGCTGAAACTCTTACAGTTCGTGACAGCGTCTTTTCCACGGAATCTCAAGGCGGCGATATCGTACGCTCTGGCGGCTTCGTCTTCTTCATTGAATGTACCAAGCCAGACTCTCTGATGTTTCTCGTAAATCTGAGCTCCCCAACGTCCATTCGGCTGTGGCACCACGCCTTTGTATTTCGACGACGGAAGTTTTCGAGATTCGGCTTCGCCGGAGCCGACACAGTTTTCAGGATCGGTGACAGCGCTAGCACCGCTTCCAACGCGGCTGAGTGTGTTCATCGGCGGCGGTGGAGATAGTTTCGCTAGTTTCGCCGGTATAAGAGATACGGAAAGAGAACCATTGCTTGTGGTGGTTTCATCTGTGCAACTACCTCCTCCTAACTCCATTTGTTTTTTGTTATCTATTATAAACTAACTTTGGTTTGTTATTCAGTTATAACTAACTATCAAGTTAGTTAGAAAAAAGTGAAGGAAAGAGAGAAGATGAAGAAAAGAGGAAGAAGAAGAATGAGAGAATAGGTGGTAGGTGTTGTGTAGGTTTGTTTTGAGGATGGATATATATATAGGAGGAACTTGTCTTATTGAATCTGTTATTATTATAAAAAGAAAATGCATACAAAACCAAATGGAGTTTGGGATGGTTTAGGGATTATGGATAATTACCAAATATAAATTTGTTTCATTAATAGTTGGATGACGTGGCAATTTGTGGGTCAACTCATTTGGAAATAGAGGAAGATTCAAGGTACTGAAAAGAGAGAGAAAAGAGTGAGTATCCATATATGGCGAAGAGAGAAAGGATAAGATCACATGAGAAATCACTTCCCGTGGGTCAATACTTGAATTTTATTTGCCGGTATTAATCAACAACATAGTTATATTTGAAACTAAGGAATTTTCATAACAAAAAGATGGAATTCTATATAATAGAATAAATTTTATTAATTTTGCCAAAAATAAAGATTTAAATTATGTTTTATTATTTAAATATCTGCAAAAAAATAGTTTAAAATATAATACGATGGAATACATAAGAAATATGGTCAATGAAACAAATTTTGACAGATACACCAACAATTTATTTTTCTACACATGTATTTGATAAAAATATGTGATATAAAATACTTGTAAATAAAATAAGAAATTATTTTATTGTTAAAACTTTAATATTATTTATATTTTATTTTAAATATCTCTAACTTAACCTCTAAGAATAATTGCAATGCAATGACAATATAATTTTTTTTAATCCGTGTAAAATAATAAAATAATGTTATTTGATTGGATTATTATGTGGAAAAAAAATTACATAATAAATACATATTAATTAATATTTGATTTTAATACTTTAGATTTTTTAATCTTCAATTTAGGTTATGTATTTATTTTATCAGTGATAGAATTGTAATTTGAAATTTCATTAAAAATATCCAAACATGACTCTTGCAACTTATAAAATGTGTAGGGTAGGCAATAATATTTTGGTGACAAAATTGTTTAATTAGGTATATTTATGAATTTAGGTGATCTATTGAATCCGATAATTCAAATTAACTCATTTTGTATTTTACTTAAGTTCTTTCAAGTTTAACTTCATCCCATTCAAGTTTGAAGTGGTTTTGTTCAGGTCACGAATATATAATTTTTTAATCAGTTAATACAATATATTCAATTAAAATGTGATGTTTTTTAATAAAGTTTTAAACTTTTATATGTTTATTTAAAATATTTTAATTAATTTAAATTTAAAATTTGGTCTAAATATTATAACTTATGAAAATAATATCATTTGATCATATATTTTACTGACTTTTTATGAATTTTTCATTTGTTTGGTTGGTTTAAATTTGTATATATTTTTAGTTCATCATAAAGTTAAAAATATCATTCAGATTTTTTCAACGTCACATATTCTTCATTTCGCATATATAATAAAGTTTATAGGTAAATTAAATAAACAAGAAACGGGCAACAAGTCGCACCAATCATACATTCTCTAATTTCATATTAAAAACAAAAAACAATTATGTGCCACAAAAAAGTAAAAACAACTAAGCACTATCTAAGAGGAACAAAAGCCAACCCAATAATATGTGAAGATTATCCTGAATCTTCAGACAAACAAATTTTTGAATAGAGTCAGGTGGAAGAAGATAGGCAAGATCACCTATACAAAGTAAAAAGAAAGGTAATTAGCAATCCAACACACACCGAACAGCCCAACCATTTATGTAGATTCAGCTTCCAATCAATCAAGAAATAGAAAAACTCAAAGCATGGGTATTGACCCACTTTTAAGCTAAATAAATAATCATATATATTCAATGATCAACCATCAATTTTTCCCATCTATAATACGGTGGGAGAATTAACTCAAGTGTTTTACGTTTTATCACAATTGTTGCGGATAGCAAGAGTCGTCACCGACTTTTCTTTTATCCAATAAAGAAAGAGTGGAAAGAATAAGAAACATCTTTTGAGAATTTTCTTGAGTTCGGGAGGTAGGTTATAAAAAGGGAAAGTGTTAGCACATTTTTCATCCGTAGTTATCTACAGGCTCTTAGTTGTTAACTCACTTTGAAATGCTTTGTTTGAAATGTATTTGTGATGTTTTTTAAATTATTTTTGAAAGTGCCTTTGTTTTAGGCGAACTTTGTAATGATTTTCGTCTCTATAAGAATGCATACAAAGTGTTGACTTTTTGAAAATATTTCATTTGAAAGTGTCTTTGCTTAGGAGAACTTTGTAATGATTTTCGTCTCTATAAGAATGCATACAAAGTGTTGACTTTTGAAAATATTTCATTTGAAAGTGTTGGTGTCTTTTGAAAGATGTTTTGAAAATGGTTGTAAGCAAGCAACTACGAGTTTTCTATCTACTCAAAAAGTATTTGTTCATTTCCTCCTCATTTAGATATTACTATCTTACCATCGATTGATGAGATACCCTATCATTGGATATGAAGGGAAGGACGTGGGTCGTCGTACAGTCATAGAAGGCAACATTGTAGGATACCTTAGCAATTTGTCGTAAGGGTCTAAGATCGTTTACCGAAGGCAACATCGAAGGGTCATCGAGGGACTACAATCTTGTTTTTGCTTGTTTTTTGCTAAAGTATCCCACGTTCGAGGGACATGACTGTTTTTTCTCAATGCAACAAGTGAGGTTAACCCTAGAGGTGAAAGTGTGCAAAGTGTTTGTTTTTAATGTTTTTTGTCTTGAGATTAGGGTTCTCTATTGTTTTATTTTTAGTTTTACCATACACACCCTAATTACTAGAAATTATATTGAAAGCGATAAATTGTCGAATTTTAAAGTTCTACGCTATTACATCTTTTTTTTTGGATGGGGGATACAAATTTACAAATGGGGAATGAAAGCAATTAAAACCTAATTACTATTACAACCATATTGAATAATGAATAACAATACAAATATAAAGAAATATAGAGATAATGTAAAAAATAAATAAAAAATTGTTTTAAGAAAACTTTTATGTATTGACACATACACTTATATATTGATACAAAAACTTTTATTCATTAACGCATGCACTTATACATTGGCTCATATATGTTTTGTATTGACACATATACTTCTGCATCAATACATATCATTCCTTGCTCCTGGAAGTCAATAATAACTCAGTATGAGTCGACACATAAGGGTTTGTATGGACTCATACTGCTTTGTATCGACACATGCACATTTTGTGCCGACTCATACTCATTTCTTGCTTCTGGAAGTCAAAAAAACTCAGTATGAGTTGACACATAAGGGTTTGTATCGACTCATACTACTTTGTATCGACACATACGTATTTTGTATCGACTCATAACCTGTTTTGTACATAATATGTGTCGACTCATAGTGATATGCATCGACTTATACTGTTGTTTTTTACTTCTAACATTGCTCTACTACATGTAAAAGTCAGTTCTCAACACATGGTTAGTGAAAACGAAAAGCAAGCACATGGTTAGCTTTAAGGCAATGATATCTACATTTTATCTTCACAAATGAACCACTAAAGATGTTTGTATGAAGAGTTCAAAGTCAAAAAAACTTACCTTGAAACTGAACTTTGTATTTTGATTTTGAGTTGGAGAAGTCAAGTTACAGGTGGCTATTTTTGAATTTTAAAAATATTGATGTTACATAAGTTGTTCTTGAGTTTGGACAACTTCTATATTATGTATATGTATGATTTTTTTAGGGAAAACTTGCAAGGCTTTGGAGACTCAAAGGGTTTGGACTTCAAAGCTCAAAGGTTGAGGTTTTTGTGGACAGTTCTGGTTTTTAGAGTAAAGGGGGGTTTGAGGATTTTTCAACATACAAGAAGCTCTCTATTTTTCTGGCCTTTCTCTTGTAAATGCTCCCTTTATTTATAGGCAAGAGATTTTGGAACAAGAGCTGATTAGGTTTGCATGACAGCGCGTTATGGTTTGGTTGGGATGCAAATATCAAACTATGTCAATTCTCCATAGTCCTAAGATGAAGTACCAAAGTTGCTGGTATAGAGGGGATAATTTCCATGATTTATGGGGGAGTATAATCAGAATTAAGCAAGTTATGGGCTCAAGACAAATTTTGTACCAAAATTTGCTTTTCAAGAATACCAATGGTGCCTTTCTGTCATAAATAGAAAGATCTTTTGGACAATGGCTCAAACACTTGGGTAATAGCTCAAGAGTAGGTGTAAGAATTAAATTATGGTGAGATTGGAAAGTTAGAAGGCCTGAAACAAAAGATTATGCAGCATAGCATGTAGATTGGATCATGTGTTCTTCAACAAAAAAGACTTGTAATTCAAGGATGGATGCCCAACTTCATGCCCTTGAATCTCCTAGCTCAAGTATGATAAATTCATGCTCTTGGACATTTTAAAAAGCTTGAAACATTGTATTCATCTTTCATGTTGACCATTTTAGATAAATAAAATTGGAACTTGATGAAAAATGACCAAGTAGTTGAGATAAAAACTGACCAAAATTTGTTGAAAATTTCACAAAGTGTTTATACAAAAATGTCATAATTTCATGGGCTCATATCTTCAAATATAAGCATTTTTTGGACATCAACCCTCTAATTCAATGTTGTAGAATTCGTCAAGATCTACAACTTTTATGTTGAAATTTTTCTTTGAATCATGTTACATCTTGGTGAAAAAAATGGTATAAAGTTATGAAATAAACATCTACAAAACACTTAGAAAAATTTCTAAGTCTTGGAAAGTTTGACTTTTCAAATTGACTTTGGACTTTCTTGACTTCTTGATGATACAGCTTGATTTTTTTGAATGTCTTAATGAAGTGTGATCTTTGAAACTAAAATTTGATCAAAAAGTCAAAGTTTGACTTTTCAGTGTACAATTGATTTTTTCATCA